TGCTCTGACGGTGGAAAGTTGGTAGCCTTAAGGCTCGTAACTTCAAATAAACACTTATGAAGTCTTCATCTATGGCTGTATTGTATATTCATCTAAAAATGAGAGAGGAAGTCTGTAGCGATGCTGTCAATGGCAGAGAACTTGAATCGACGTGGCTTACCATATACGCTTAAAAATACGAAATACTGACTGCATGAATACATCCAGACTTAAAGGCTCCTAGTTAAACTGAAACTACTACAAACGAGTGGTGTGCTAAGGCTTCCTCCCGTGATTTTGCCTGCAATATTAATTGTGGTGATTTTAACCTCCCAAGCATCAACTGTAAGATACACTCTGAACCATGGTGCTTTGAAAGCAAACTTAGTTCTCTGAAAAAACATGTGCACTTGCTTATACGAAACCACGACATTCTCAACTTGATGTTCTGTTACAATGCCATACTGACAACTGTAGTGGTTAACAAAAGGTTTCACGACAGCGACCATAAAATAGTTCTATACGGTCCACCGTTCCTTTAAATATGCGAAAAATCCAAAACATTTAATGTGCGTTTTCAGTATAGCGATTATCCACTCGCTGACTGGGAAGATTTTCGATTTCTAATTAAGCACTTTAACTGCAGTAGTTTCTTTACCACTGTAACAACCGGAACCCGAATATCGGACGCAGAACTACCGAACCAAAAGTTATTCCATCAGACCAGACTACGTTCTTCTGTACAGTGTACGAAGTGTTTTTGAGTGACTCTTATGAAATTATGTCAAAACACAAACTCTATGTTTGATTTCAACAATTCTAATTTTATAAAGATAATAAATTATACCAAATTACAAAATATCTCAAACAATTCAACCTATGCTGTACAGTTAAAGGTTTGTCTAACACAAATTCACGTGCTAAACAGCAGTAGAAGTAGTTGATAGACGAGTGTTCAAAACCTGAGAATCAATTAAAATATTCTCAACAAGATGGGATCAGGTGTCTCCGCAAATATCCCTACAATCTTACCAAGTGGACGGCTAGATGTTAACAGGCGTACACCGGGCCACGTTTTGACCATGATGTTCGTCAAGCACAACCATTTAGTCAATGGTTCGGCAACATGCAACATTAAATTAAGCAATGAAAGATACATCTTCAACCAGAATCAAATAATGACAGCTTTAAAAAGAAGACCGAAAAACACAAAGTGTGGTTTAAAAGAGGCCTGAATAAAGGTTAAAATACAAGACAGAAATAACAAACGAATATCTGACAATACTGTACAAAAGATGTTGTGAAGGGATTCTCAGGGTTTTCATACTGTTACAATCAGTGATTAACTTTAATAACCACTAGAAATATTCAATATTACCACTGAATCCGCACTAGACACTACTATTCCCCCTGAAATGGCTTTTAAGACAACAGCTTCTAATATCAACCAAAAAATCAGGACTAAGTTACAAAAACCCGTAGGGATGTATGATATATCAAAATTCCTTAGCACCCTTCACCAATTGTATTCTGTATTTGAAGTAGTGCAAAAACAGTATCAAAACCTAAACAGGAAGAGCAACGCACTGCGCTCACTAGAGCGTTTAAATCCCGAAATCCACTTCGTCTCCTTGAAAGGCACATAAGAAAGAGTGTGGATCAAAACATTTACTCTATACTGTTCGATGGTGTGACGTATTATAACCAAATTGTTAATGTGAACTACTTGGTTAATAGTTTTCCCACAATAGGAATAATCCCATACCCCAGATTGCGATGTCAAGTTCATCAGCACAAATAATCTTAATACTACTAACTTTGATCTTGGCAACATACACACCGCCACCAGAACGTTGTAGCCAAATGCAAGTTTTGGTGCAGCTGACACCTCATCTATCTTTTACAAAACGGTAGGACCGAACATAAGAATACTATTACTCAAGGTATCTACACTATCCTCAGAGACAGGGGCGTACCTCGAAATCAGGAAGGTAACGTGTGTTATCCCCAAACACAAATCAGGACCAAAAATGTAATTCAGAACTACAGACCTATAAATATCAACCCAGTTATATTATGCACAATGGAAAAATTGATGCAAGATCGGTTATCAGATCATCTATTTTAGGAACGTCTAATCGACTCGTTGCAACACGGCTTCACTGGAATAAGGCCTTTGATAAGGTACTTCATAATCTCCTAATCAACAGACTTCAGTCGGTCGGAATTACTAACTTTCTATTGCGATGAATGAAATCTGTCACAGACAGACACTCTATGACTAAAATGAACTTCACGGAGTCTATACCGTGACCAGAAACCAGGGGTATATTCTGGGTTAGCGTCCCCAGCCTGCTGCCTTTTACAACCCACATCATCAATATATTCAGTTGCTTCAACAATGGAGAGACCTGGAATTACGTTTGTGATATACAAAGTATTAATCAAACAATTCAGTATGAAATCAGCAAAATTGATAACTGGTACAAACGCTAAAGCTCAGAATTGAAAACACAGGGGGATGTGGCTAATTATGTATTGAAGACGTCTATTGAAATATAACAATGAACACACCGCCCAGAGCCGCTTAACTAACTGACCTTGGAGTTAATTACTAGCACAGTTTAGACACTCCAAAACATATCTTCACGAAAGCATCTAAAACGCGAAAATTGCTAGGGTTCATTCTTATTAACCTCTTTAAAAATGAGTCTAGCATCATTCTTTACAAGATATCTGTAAGACCTAACACTGCGTATTGTTCGCCCTTATTTTCCGAATTACGTCAATCCGATATACTGAACGTCAAAGGAATACAACGGAATTTCGCCCGCAAAAGGTTTAAAATTGACTCACTCACTGACCATCAGCCTAGACGTCATACCCTGTCGGTATTCCTTATCATGGAAATAATTGACTCCCTTCTTGTTTATTTACTTTATGAATAGTTATATGAAGCAACAACATGATTCAGAATATCTAACGCTCTATGAAGTATGAGTTATTAATTAGAAAACTATAGTATTCTAATTATAGTATGAATTAGGAATTCCAGGATTAACGCAATTGAATTAAGAAGACACAGGCACAACGAATGTACTGTATTTAGAATTCGAAATCGAGCATTCAACAAGTACAAAAGAATCATTAGTTAATTCAAACACCACAAAAACGTTTCTGTCTAATGTATATTCATGTCATAACTGCTTGATTTACGCGTTGTATTGACCAAAGCTTTTGGTTCAGTGTTCGCTACAGATCTATGAAATTACGTCAACTTCAATGCTGGGCCCAAATTATTTGACAGACCGACCATGTTAGTCAAGGTATTGGTGCTGTTTCGTGTTCCTTTGATTATATAACCGTTACTATATAAGTGTCACCCTAATCTCCGTCATTTGCTTTTCATTCATTATAAGATTATTTTTAATCGTGTCCAGTAATGGGTTGTGTTAATTCATTAATATGCGTAAGTGTTCATCTTCAGGGTAAAAAAACATCAACGTGCTTCATAATCACTGAATGATTCATGGTGAAAATCTATTCTGATTAGCTTAGTCGTATTCAGGCGTACAACTTCCGAAACTGATCAAGTTAAGGTCTGGTCAGAAAGATAAGTCCTAAAAGAGCATGCACCAAGGGACAACCAGCTGGAGTTTGATCAGTGACGTCACGGAGTGTCAAGAATCTAGACAAGTTAAAATAAAGCTTCAAAAGTTGACAAAACAGACACCACAGGAATGAGCTTAGTACGCACCATGAATCAGATGTTCAACATGGAGCTGAGTGCCAGGCTGCGACTGACAAACAGGTTGGAGAGGCCAAAGATAAACTTCGCGAAGGAAAATGGCTGAGAATCCTGCCTGTGGATCCGTAGAACGTAAGCTAGACTGGGGTAGAACGGTTGGCACACCAGTCTTGGTACATGAGATTATGATAGCACCTTGTTTATTATGATGATAAAAGACTACCTGAACCTCTGTTACTAACGTTTCTGAACAACAACCAGGAAAACTCAACGTGTTGAGAATGCTAAGATGATATCAGGGTGTGAAATTATGACCAGCTACTAAATATTTGTGAATATTTTGTAGCTTTCATTCAGTTGAAGGATCAAGACAAGGTTTAATTTAATGCGCTAGATCCAGAGAGGTTCTCACTTTGGTTGTTGACATATTTGACAGTTAGTCGCTGAATGATGCATGGGAGCATTGTAAGCTAAGTAGCGCTAATATTGCAAGCAGTTGTCTAGTAGACAAGTTATGGAAACAGATAGGGTGACGTGTAGGATACTCATTGAGAAAGACCAAACTATGGTTATCCGTCGTGCCGGAAGAAGGCAGGGTAAGTATGATACGTCAATAATAATGTTGGGATATTCAGGAAAATATCCCAAAAATTATCCTGTTAAGCCTAATGCTATCCTTGGACATGAAATGGTATCATCTTATTGGTCAGTATTTATTTAACGTGTTATTTTCCTGTTGGCCATTATTGTACAATGTTATCTTCTATTTTATGGTACGTTGTGGACTGATTGACTGGTATATAAACAAAGTATGTTGAAATATAATGATTCATATATCCGAGGCTGTGACTTGCGTTCTGGACTCAATTGACTGGGCTAGACAGGGAAGCGAGACCAATCAGAACCCTAGGTCGTTCTACGTGTTTGCGCGTCTTTGGTCCGATCAATAATTCGCTACCCTTAATCAGCAGCAAATATTTTTCACGTTATAACAAATAACCAGACTACATAAAGAAGCAAAATATTTGATACATAGCGAAGCAATCATAGAATAGTCTCTAGGCCAGTGGTTGACATATCCTGCTAGTTTCAGCCTTCTGTTTATTTTCTGTGGTTGTGAATCACAGATATTTATACAATACGTCCCATGGTGGTTATAAATTCAATGATGTAACTGATAGGTTGAACACAGACAATAACAGATGTCAGATGATTTCTGTAACTTGTATCACCGGGTACTCCAACAATGGAGTTGCACGATACGTGATTTATTATGACATTTTTAAGTCACGCTGCCTGCAATAAAAGTCTATCAGTTATGCAGAATAAACAGGAATATTCTGTCGCGTATCATAATAATACCAGTGACATGGCTTTATCCTATAGCTCCACTAAAGCACAATGAAACTAACCAAGCAAATTCGAATGTGACCGGGTCAAAGGGATGAATTAACGTGATTACATCAACATCTGGTACGACTAAAATCATCAGCAGCACAAGTCAAATCAACGAGAAAGGGGGTTTGGTGATCCTTTTCATCAAGGAGTGTCCATAGAGGGCACGTCAATATTGTTGGACCTGGTTTGATTCCATTAACTTACGTTTGCTCAGCTTTCATAATATCAACAATGTCTCTCTGGTGAAAACAATCTACAGCAGGTTCCTTTGTTTTTAATCAAACAGATTAAATGCTATGGACGGACAGGATAGAATACAGAATAAAAGAAACGACAAAATATACACTGTTTTTGAGGAATCAATGAGCATTCACAACAATTAGTCCCTTTGATAAATTTCGATAATGCAATGAGAAGACGAAGTTAATCAGAATTATATGATATATTTGCGCAATACATTTCGAACAATCTGATCACACATATACTTGTTATGAACATTTATATATGAAAATTAAAAGGTCAACTAGACAGGTTAAGGGTAAGTCATAACAACGGAAAAATAATAAAGTACACAAAAACAAATGTGATTACCACTCCGGATGATAAATCAGTATTACCAGGGCATGTTAAGTGTATGGACAGATTGTTTTTGAACACATAAAGAGGGTTTCAATTTCCGTATTGCCAATGCTTCAATTAAAAGCTCTATGTGTTCGAAAACAATCTGTCCATACACTTAACATGCCCTGGTAATACTGATTTATCATCCGGAGTGGTAATCACATTTGTTTTTGTGTACTTTATTATTTTTCCGTTGTTATGACTTACCCTTAACCTGTCTAGTTGACCTTTTAATTTTCATATATAAATGTTCATAACAAGTATATGTGTGATCAGATTGTTCGAAATGTATTGCGCAAATATATCATATAATTCTGATTAACTTCGTCTTCTCATTGCATTATCGAACATTTACAAGCCCCCTATCGGTCCTACCTTCTCAAAACGCCTCCATATAATTTAACTATGAATCTCCCCAGAAGCTACCTGAGGTCGCATATAGATTTTTCGAAAAATCTACACGTTCTACCCTTTATTAGCATATGCTCCGCCACCTGAAGCAGCAAGACAATAGCCATAGAATTCAGTAAATATACTCTTATCTCTGAAGATGCCTATATGTTTATGAATTTATTCTGAGTTTTCTGAGTTGGAATACATTACATTTATAACAAGAAATTACAAACCATTCGGAATTTAATCCTCTCAAAACAACCCGACTCTGATCGACCTTTCTAGAAGCATATTTCACGATGAAACAACACCTAATCTTGTTAGTTTAAGTTAGTACCTCAGCAATTCACTGTTTCGTGACCAGTTTATGGTGTGTTCTTTGATGAGGATAGTCAAGGCTGAATATAATGAAGTGTGGTTAACTGCTCCTTATTCATTATTTACGATGCCACATCAAACCATTCTTGTCGTTTTTCAAGACAGTCAACTAAGAAATCGAATATTTCCCAAAACATTAGTCTTCAAAACATTTCGAAAATTAGTGAACTTTATATTTGAACTAATACAACTCTAGCTACTTGACTGTTGGTACTTCTGATTTTGTTTAGCAGCAGTTCGTTTGTTCGTATAATTGAAGTTCACCTGACTGTTGGCGCCAAACTGGGTACGTCCGTTCTTCTGTCATCTTGTTTTCTGCACAGGGTATTTAGTAATATTTGTCATCAAAGCATTTGTATAGTGGTTGAGTGTCTTCTGCAGCATTTTATTCACTTCCGATGCCCTTCCATATTCCATATAAGCCTGCTTACTATGAAGTGTCAACTCTTAGATTGTGACATCGTTGTACTCATTCCATTGTGACACGCCCTGATCAGGTTTTCTAGCCTTCAAGTCCAAACTACTTAGACTTCTAAAGCTTCTGCTTATCATGTGGTTTTTGACTAGCTGGGGTGCGAATTGAGTTTTCTGAAATTCAATAAGTAATACTGGATTCAAAGTTGCCCTGTTCAAACTTCCCATGTAAGCGGTTGACACATCCAAATAATAGCGTTAGCAATTTCCGCAACGTTTTTGTGATATACATCGTAGCTAAGTCTTGCTGTACTTAAATTAGCCGGGAAGTTTGTAAAGCCACGTTTTGCTAGTAATCCTTAAAATGAGTAGTTTTGCCTTAATTTCTAAGCTTAACTGAAACCAAAAAAGAAGCATCTTATTGTTTTTCACATATAACCTTTGGTCTAAATAACCCTGAGAACGTGTCTATATAGCCACAGTCACTGGGTACGATAATTATTTTCGAGATTTGACTTATGATTCTCTACTTTCGTCCCCGTTCGGTAAAATGCCCCCTTTTACTACGTCTCCGTTAATCCTAGGGTTGTTATGCTTACGCTATTTATCTGAAAGCTTTGTTCAACACATGCATGCCACTATTCTGATTCATCCAGCTACATGGGGTTGCATTTGTCCCGCCGAAATGAGCTTGTTTTCTCCATACTGTCTGAATCTACATTGAAGCATACACACCATAAGTTACCTGAGGTCGAGCAAAGTTCATGATCTAGTCACTTTATTTAGTTTACTAAATGTAAATGAACAGAAACAGTCTCAAGATGCTTAAAATAATTCGGTTCTGTAACTTGCGATAGGATGTAGAGTTGGTTCAATTTCGGGAGCAATCGGTGATCCAAAAACTAGTAACTTAAACTAAATCAAAGGGAAAAATGAACAACTAGGAATATTGGTTCTATAAGAAATGAGAATTTTCAGCTCTAACCAGACACATACTTGTATAAATTGGATATATATTCACTCCTATATTGTGAAAATGCCCAACTCTTTTCCAAATAGAGTGCGGCTTTTTAATGATCATGATACAATTTCCAGTCAATAGGTCACAAGCTTGAATCCCACTTCATTTTGAGTATTTGTTAGTATACTACACCTCACAGAATATGGCTAAATTAAGTAAATCTGCATCGAACATCGTACAGGTAATACGTCACCATTGATGGCTTTACAGAAATCATCTGGATTCAGTAACTGCTTAACTGAAATATTTTGTTTCCCAGTATGAATATATGGTAAATCTTGGCCATCATTTTTCATAGTGATGACTGGTGTTCTGAATAATGTGTCTCACGTTGGCAACGGGACTTCTAATGCTTCTATCAAAGCAGAAGTAGAAGACGACATCCCTTTATCTGAAAAGTTAAAGCGAAGTAGAATGCATTCGTCCTCTAGCGATGACGATGATATTCCTCTGTCTGCCAAGTAAGACATATTTGCTAGTTATCTACTTCGTCTCAGATTAGCCCAGATGTCCAAAAAGCCAAAATTGGAACCTCCAGTTTCTCCACAGGTAACTGATTCATTTTTCTAATACAGTCATAGCCTCGTAATAAAAGCCAAGGTGATCAAAGAAGAGAACATTCAAAGTCTTCAAATGAAAAGATTAAAAAAGAAAATACACTTAGTTCTCCTAGCAAAGTTAGAAAGCATGAGAAACCTGAAGAGGAAGTTTGGAGGTGGTGGGAAGAGCAAAAGAAAGATGACGGTGTCAAGTGGAAATTCTTAGAACATAAAGGTCCACTTTTCGCCCCTCCTTATGAACGCTTGCCTAGCTCTGTTCATTTTCACTATGATTCCAAACCTATCAAGTTATCGGATCATGCAGAAGAAGTTGCAGGGTTTTACGCACGTATGTTGGATCATGATTATACCACAAAGGAAGTGTTCAACCACAACTTCTTCCGTGACTGGGTGAAAGTAAGTAATTTGTGTTTCATATCGGATTCCGTTAAATAGACAATGAATGAAGAAGAACGTCGAACCATTAAATCCCTTAGCAAATGCGATTTCCGCGAAATGCATCAATATTTTCTTAAGTTAAGTGAAGAAAGAAAAAACCGAACTAAGGAGGAAAAACAGAAGATAAAGGAAGAAAACTTACAAATTCAAAATGAATATGGCTACTGCATATTGGACGGACACAAGCAAAGAATCGGGAATTTCCGTATTGAACCTCCAGGCTTATTTCGAGGCCGTGGCAACCATCCTAAAATGGGCATGTTAAAAAAGCGCATTATGCCTGAAGATGTCATCATTAACTGCTCAAAAGACTCAAAAGTTCCTGCTCCTCCAAAAGGTCACAAGTGGAAAGAAGTAAGACATGACAACAGTGTTACTTGGCTGGCATGCTGGACTGAAAATATCCAAAATAGCTTCAAATACATAATGCTGAATCCATCCTCTCGTCTTAAGGTTGGTTATGCATCGAGATTAACAATTATTTTCCAGGGTGAAAAAGATTGGAAAAAGTACGAAACTGCTCGTTGCCTACACAAGGTAATCGACAAAATTAGAGCAGACTACCGAGCTGATTTCAAACACAAAGAAATGCGGATACGCCAGCGGGCTGTTGCACTATATTTTATCGATAAGGTAGATAACCCCTAACTTTTAAATTACTTTTATGCAATTATAAAAACATGAGTTTTCTGCAAATGTTTACCGTACGGATGGAATGTGACAGCTAATAACGACCTAGTGTGATGATCGTCAATACGACAATCATTAAATGCATACTCAAAATCTTGTTATCTATCCTTTTGTTTAGTTTCTACTTATTACAGAGATATGTTACTGATAAATACCTTATTAAGCGTTCATTAAAAAGCCTTATATATACATGGGCTACATTGATGTTTTGAGTAAGGGTTCATGTCACTCTTTGAAATGTTCTCCATTCTTTAATAACACAAACGCCTCTCATAACAACAGTCAGGCAAAATACAGGGCTTAGATTTTCGAATTCGAAAATACAAAATATATGATTAAGTACCTCTTTTGGAGTGGCAACCTAATCATTAGTAAAGGAAACAGTTGTAAGTCTTGATATTATAATGGTTACTGCATCGTCTACGGCTGTTACAACTCATGCTCCTGACGATCATATACAGCTACTTATGATTCTCGTCATTTTTCCACTTCCGATTGTAGTTGGCTCTTCGTGCTGGGAATGAAAAGGACGAGGATGAAGCTGATACTGTTGGTTGCTGTTCACTTCGCTACGAACACATAAAACTCCATGAAGAGTTGAACGGACAACCTTATGTTGTTGAATTCGATTTTTTAGGTAAAGATTCTATTCGCTATCAAAATGCTGTATCCGTTCCCAAACGCGTCTTCAAGAATGTCAAACTATTTCTGAAGAACAAAAAAGAAAATGACGATTTATTTGATCGACTTAATGTAGGTCTTTCAAGATTTTAGTATTATATACAAAACATTTAGACGAGTGTCCTGAATCAGTATTTACGAGAACTTATGGATGGTTTAACTGCCAAAGTATTTCGTACGTACAATGCAAGTCGAACTCTGGAAGAGCAGTTGGAACGGCTTACCAATCCTGATGATCCTCCTCATGCTAAACTTCTGGCATATAATCGAGCAAATCGAGCAGTTGCTGTTCTCTGTAACCATCAGCGTTCAGTTCCGAAATCTTTTGCAAAATCAATGGAGAATTTGCAGAAAAAAGTATGTGAAATTTGTGCAAGTTATTTATAAATTTTATACCTAGCCTGTCATTGCTAAAAACCTTGTCTGTGTGGTTACTATCTTTTCAGTATTCGAATTAAACTGACTTTATAAGTGTTTACAACCTTAATTTTGAACCTATAACATTAGCCTTTCCCTTACCTAGATTTGACCAGCATCAAAAATGAAAAGTTAATCCAGTTAGTTCACATTAAGTAATTATAAAATGTCTGTTCAACAGCCTTTTTTAATGCGCTCTAATAGTGGTGCTTATGGTATGCTTCCTTCTACTTAGTGAAGTGTAAGCTAAACTAAACACTTGTGTTTTTTCTTTGCACCACCAGAGGGATGTTGACATTTAATTGAGTACCATATTTACGAATCCCAACACTAATCCTATAATTTCCGATACCAGATACAAACTTTCCAAGAAATTGAAGTGTCCAAAAGAAGATGCATATTTCTAGCGACAGTATCCTGTAGCCAAAGTTGAATTTGAATAAAAAATATATCAGACAGTAGTCGGTCCAAGTTATTAATTGACTACGCACCTGTCATTTTAGTTCGACTCAAAATACCTCTTTATCGTTTATTTTATTTTTCCACATTCATTCTCTTATTTTCCTGAAGTTTATTTTTAAAAATATAATGCAATTTTCTGGTAAATCCCAATTTATTGTTTGCCAAAATATTTAAATTGTCTTGTACAAACATGAGTGGTCTATGAAAGATCAAATTTAGTTAGTTCCTTGCTTACATTCTCGGGATGCTGGAGTTTAATATTTGTAAGCGAAATCCCTTTGCCTTGTTTTTAGACGATTGCCACCAAGGTTTATCTTCACTATTCGTCGAAAGAGACAAATGTCAACCAGTTTGCCCTGCCTTCCTTTATACAACAAATAGATAAAATGTTTCTCATCTACTGGTGATATTCATTTCATATTGCTATTACCGTTTAGCTTTGTCAATTTAACACAGTTTAATGTTGCGTCCAGTAAATATGCCCTACCTTTTTATGGGTTAAGGGAAGTATGCCTCCACTGAAATGCTCATGTTCTTAAAGATTGACAAAGTATTACCTTGTACAGAATAATTTTATGTGAAGGGTAACTGGAAAAGATGTCTGGTGATGTGTTCAGTTAAAAGCATACATGTTGTTCACCGTATCAACAGAAATACGTGTTAGGGCCTGATAAACGAATTCCTAAGTGTCTTCTGTTTGCTTTTTTATCTATTCTTTATTGGTTAGTAAGGTTTTTTTCATTTGACAATGCAATCACTCTAGCTAAATAGGGATTTTCGAACAATCTATAGTTTGTGGTGAATGTTAGATAGCACTACGATCATTACTACATAAGCATCGCTTTATTATTAGTGTTTTTTCATTGTAATAGATCAGGAGAATAAAAACTTGTTTACTGTATATTTCGTTTCGATCCTTTTCAAAATTTATATGTATCTAAATCTGTGTTTGCACTGATTTCATATTTTGAAGGTTCAAATACCGTACAATTCCTCATCTTATATTGCAGATCGATGCAAAACGTGAGCAAATTTCGGAAATAACTTCTGAAGCTAAACAAATAAAAGCAGATTACAAAAATCACAAACAAGCATCCAAGAAGGTCGCTTATGAAAAGCTGAAGAAACGCTTAGCATCTGCTAAAGAGGCTTTATCAAAATTGCAGCTTCAAGCAACTGATCGAGATGAAAATAAAGAGATCGCTCTCAGTACAAGTAAACTGAACTACCTCGATCCTCGGATTTCAGTTGCTTGGTAAGATGTGTTGTATTGGTCTAGCAGAATATCATTCATTCAAAAGATCATATTCCTTATGGCTATATGTATATATAAGCCTCTTCACAATTTTCAGCTTCGTTTGACGTCTGGAAAATGACGCTAGTGGTCATTCAAAGCACCCACCAGGAAATTGTTTTTGGTAAATCGTTCGCAAATCCACCACACTAATGCTCAAATTAAAGCTCAAGCTTTCATTTGCGTTTATCATATTTTTAAATGTTTGCTTAGGGTCATTAACTATTTTCTCAGTGTGAGATGTTCCTCCAGAATTTCGATACCATTTAGAGTATTTAGTAGAAATATTGGCATTTCGGAACAGACTTCTCATCCTACTTCAATTCAATACATTCAGCATTCATTTCAGACTTTACATATTAAACATTAACAAAGAAATAAGTACACGAGCTTAAAACATTCCACATAATTTAAATATCTAGTGGATTTCATTCATGGAATAGGTTGGAGAATGTCAAACAAGTTTTCTGTATTCTCGTTAACAATGGACTGTCCAGGAGCTGATTCTAGAAAACGGTGTAAAACAGTAGATCTTAAACTCAGAACTATTTAATTCTTATCTATGTGATCAGTCGTAATTGTTTCGCCTCATGCATTTTCGCTTTAGACTTCTTATCATATCTACTCATGTAGCGAGTTGATACTTTCGTGGCACTATATTTTTCAAATACGATAGCATCAGCTATTGTTATAGGTTCACTAGAAAACACAACTAATAATTTCGTCATGCTATATGTAAAAATGTCCAGCTCTGAACAGCATAAGGTCGAAATTCTTTCACATGTTTTTTTATTCTCTCATGGCTAATAAGAACATCAATAATACAACTCGTTTGGCCTACCATTTGAAAAAATAAGCGATCGTATAATCATAGGTGAATAATTTCTAAATTCCAGGCTTGTTCTCCAAGCGGGAGATGTTTATTTTTCTGAATATAAAGTTAGACCATTATTGCTATAGCCTGTTTATACAAATATCACCTTAACTGTAGACCATAAAGGAAATACATTGTGTTGTATTATTACAACCAATTATCCCAATTTCATTTTTCTCGGTTCCAATCAGCTCCACATGTGTTGATCTTTGTTTTTGCTAGTTATCTATTTTCAAGTCGCAATTATTTTGTATTCCTTTTAAAAAGGTGTAAAAAGTATAACGTTCCTATTGAGAAAATTTTTAACAGAACTCAAAGAGAAAAATTCCAATGGGCAATAGATATGGCTACATGTGACTACAAGTTTTTAGACGTTGATTCAGATAGAAGTACAAACAAACTCAAAGCGGAGGAAAGTGATGATGAAGATATGATTGACGACGAAGACTGAGCAAGAAAAGAAAATACTTCCATAGAATGTTTCCAACATTAGTCTATTTCATAATCTTAATTGTATGATTATGTTAAAGTTGTTAACTGGTTCTACTCTAATATGAGTAATCTCCACGTGTATTTTTGTCAGGTCACAAAACTCCAATGTAATTTTATCCTGAAGCGTTTACGGCACATTTGTGTCCTCTTATGTTTTTTGTACTAAATTGTCTCTTCTAAACTCTCATCAAATATACTGGAAACCTTTTCAAACAAATCCAGACGATTTCGCTTTCTTGATAACCATGTAGGAATTTTGCAATGTTATACTTAGTATATTATGATGTTATAGTGGCAACAATATACCACTAATTAATAATAAATATTCGCAGCAATAGCTATCTTTCACCATTCTTTGTGAATGAATATAATGTATTTTCACGAAAAATGAGTTTATCATGCCTTCAAATCTTTGAATGAAATACCTTTTACGACTCTGAAGGTAGTTGTTTCACTTCAGGATTTCTATTACTTTCCCGTTTTTCTTGTATTAGCTTTATCATGCATTCACTTATTGTATGGGATCTATGTACGTATAATTTAGTGTGAAGCCACATTATCTTTACTCGATCATTTGTGTTTTTATGTATTTACTTATTACTGATTTCTCATGATAGTTCATTTACGGAAACCTTGGTGTTATTACAGTAATGAATTTTGTTGTATTCATTTTGAATATACTGTTCATGTGATAACCTGTTAACCATTCTTTTTCCCTGGATTGTTTAGAGTAGCTTCGTATGGGTCCTTAACATATTAACTATAGTTACGTACATATTAGGTACCTCAATAATCATTGATATCACAGTACTTTTAATTCACGATGTAATATATTGTATGCACACTTTCTTCCTTCCATATCGAATAATCATGGATAAAAAGTGACGGTATCGGTATGCCATACCCTTTAACAGTTCAGCACATGATTACCATCCGGACTACACATTTTATACTATCGAAACATGTTTATGCTCAAATAGTCACTGATAATTTATTTACAGGGATTTATTGATGCAGCTATTTTAGACTACTTCATTCCCTATCCTTAGTTCAGATGTTCATGCAGGCCAGTCTTGAAGCAACAACTTGGATTTGGAGGGGGAGAAATGCATCTCAAACATTCTGGCATTGTTGCTCAGTGCTACCAAAACTCCGCATTTTATCAGCGTCCTCACCAAACAGGACCATACCATCTGTGAATTCTAGGTCAATAAGTGAACCTCCTGGAAAGGGATCGATTCCCGAAAATTCAGACGACGAGAACGTTATTTCCGGCAGTAGGTCTTTGACGAAATTAAACAAAAACAGGTAATGGACAGCCTTGACGGACACCACTTGAGGTTGCCAAATTAGATCACAGTTCTCCATAAGTTCTTACTCGACTAGTGGTGTTCGAGTAAAGAGCCTTCGCAAGATTTATGTACTTGTGAGGTACATCTTTCAATGACAAACATTGCCACAGAACCTCTCGGTCTACAGAGTGAAATGTTGCTTTTGAGTCAAGAAAAACTATCATTGTCGGACGCCGATAAGCATGCATGTGTTCTAGTATCTGACGAATGGTGAATATGTGGTCGATACAGACACGACCAGGTCTTAAGCCAGCCTGGATTCCTCGTGTTTGCATTTCACGAGTCTTTGTCAGGCGTCCGATAATTACTGAGATTAGTATTTTAGATGCTACGTTAGTCAAACTAATCCCTCTATACTTACCACAGGATAATTTCAGCCTTTTCTTTATGTATTGGGACTCAGTGATTGCGACCAGTCAGATCGGATTACAGCCAATTCACAAATTTTAGCTAAAATATTAGTCAACCTAATCGCTAAGACTGGACCACCATACTTGAAGACCTCTGGAGCCAATCCATCTGGACCAGCTGCTCTTCTTCGTTTGTTTGGGAATGGTGGGTAGTTGTAGAGTAGCTCAAGGCCAGCTGAACTGCTCCTTAGAGTGTTCCAAACGTTTGGGCTGATAGCATATAAGAGTGTCCTCGTTTTCCGAGATAGTTTCATTTACACTTGACTTTTCAATTCTAGTTTCTTTTATTAGTATGAAAAGCTGTCTGGTGTTACCTACAGCTACTGTCTATTCCATCTCTTTTGCTTTCGTTGCCCACCACTACTCACGGTCGTTCCTTAGACTTTTGCTTACCCAAGATCTGATATTTCATCGCTCTTCGTGTTGAGTCTGATGGGATGAGTTTACGAGAATCCATCAGTGCAATAGACCTTGAGGAAATCCATTGGTTCTTTGTAACCCTGTAGTTTAAATCACTAACAGATGTCGCTGCTGTTCCCATAGCTGCTTGTGTATCTTTCCAAGCAACATCTGGGTCAGCCTTGTTTTCAGAACTACCTATGTGTGACCTCAGTTGTTCCTGGAATATGCCTTTGGCCTTCTCATCGTTGAGTTCAACTCTAATGGGTCTCCTTAGTATGACTTCTGCGTTTAGTGAGGCTCAAGCAAATACGTGCTCGTATTAGAGCTTGGTCAGAGTCTAAACATGTACTCCGAGACGATTGGCAGTCTTCTATTGAGCCTCGCCAACGATGACTAATGGCAATGTGTTCTATCTGAGTCCATCGTTGGTTTGGCGCAGGAGGTCGCCATTGTCCCGATAAGCATAATGAATAGTAACTTTTGTGATCCATTTATGGACCAATAATAAACGTATATTTTTATCGTATAATTGTTAAATAACTAAACTATGCATATTCACATTCTTCTTATCATAAGCTTTATTTTGACCTGTGAACTATTATTATACGTCTTACCATTCTTGAATTATGCCCTGTCTATTAATCACTACCTCTCTCATTCACAGTCACTTTTGGCCAAATCTTATACAAATGTTATTTTCTATTTTATGGTACGTTGTGGTCTGTTTGTTTGGTATATAAATGATTCGTATCGCAGAGGCTGGGATTGATGTTCTGGACTTAACTGGCTGGGCTAGGCGGAAAACAGGACCAATAAGGACTCTAGACTGCTCGTACGTGTTTACGCGTCATTGGTCTGGTCGATAATTCACTGTTCTCTGATTGGCGGTATCACCACGTTATACATTAACAGGGCGCGCAGGCTACAAGTTATAACAGCCATGCTAGACGATGTCCTTACTTATGCTTAATATTAGTGCTTGCTAAAAATGAACGATTATCTGAGATCAGTTGCAACAGGTGGTCACCGTTATCTGTTCGTCGAGCCGGAATACTAAAGTCTTTCTATTTGGTTTGAGCTACCTACCTGAGTATTGAAGTCACCTGCTACGAGTACTATATCTGAGCGTTTACCTTTCTGAAGAAGTTCGGACAGCTTTCTGTAAAATTCATCTTTCACATCATCTGAGCTGAAGTCAGTGGGAGCGTAGGCAGAAACGACGAAAAGGCAACGACGTGTGTCCCTATCCTTCCGAGTTCTTACGGAGCCGTTTAGCCGAACAGGACATAGGAGACTGTTAACGAGGATCCATTCTAACACCACTTGCTCTGCCGTCGTGCTCAGTGCCATGGCTACACCTGCCAGTTCACGAAAACTAGCCATCGGGTCGCTAGATAAACGGGGTGTATATTTCGTCGGTTCCCTGTGTTGGCGAGGTGAGATCAAGTGAATGACCACACTAGAATCCTGTATGCGTGTTTCGGAGACACAGCATACATCAATGGTACGAGATTCTAGGATTTTAGCCAAGGAGGCCTGCTGGGCGATTTGACATAGTGTGTGTACGTTGAAGGCTTCAATGTGTAGTTTGGAGCGAGGTTTCAGTAGACCTGCGACAGTGTGTCGCCTACTAGAATCGTTGGCCATGATGACACATGAGAAGGAAGCCAAAAGGGGAAGTTTAGAGTTGAAAGTCGAGGTAGGTGGAGTAACAGGATATGAAGAGGGAGGTTGATTATTAATACAGTGGTCTTGAGTTCTGTTAGGGGTGTGAGGTAGGTTATCACTTCCTGGTTGCCTATGCTGTGAAGGGTTCTTCTAGAGGTACCTGAAGAGGAAATTGGATTAGGGGTGGTCTTAGTGACCTGAGAGCGTGATCGCAGTGCCCAAGGGACAACTGCTTGAAGCCGGTCACATACGGCCTTTTATGAGTAGCTTTCGTGTTAGCTCCGTAATTGATGAGGCCTTACTATCGGTGCGGAAACCCGTGGGATAAGGTGGTGTGCATTTTTAGGGCCGGCCTTTTCTAACCCCACTCCTCCTTGTGGGAAGGCAGCATCGCTGTTACGTTGGTTGTCTGAAGGAAATACCTTACAGCTGTCACACTGTACAGTCAGCAGTACGACTTCGCCCTCGATCGTTAGGTTTGCTGCTTTTAGTCTTACCACTCTTCAACTTACCTGTCTGGCATGGTAGGACCTTGAGGAACGATTGTTCCAGCCAGTATAGCTCGGTTGGTTCATTAAGATAGGCAAACCCGACCACCACTTTTGGGCTTTACCATGTGTTGTTTAAAATTATTTCAGAAGAACGACTAAAGCATCAGTGTTGTTTTCTTTAAGAAAATGTGTAAGTGTAACAAGAATTTTTTGTTTATAGTGGCTGGATACACAATACAGGAATAGATACAGAAATCAATAAGGAAACAGTATCTTGAAGTTATTGTTATGAATTACGATTTCATAGGTAATGCATAGTTTGATGACTGTCAAAATGAGCAATTAGGACGGTGATCAATAAATAATAGTAGTTTTTTCTAATAAAATAAAGTGCTTATACACGAACCATTTACAAAGGTATGATTCGATGTTATAAGTAATTGGAAGTTGTCAATTTCATGGTCACTATAATTACTTGTAATCTGACTTTGGCTTAATTCTTGCCCACTTTATATATGCACTCCCGGACTCAATCGAAGTCGAGAATTAATTGCTCAGGAAACGACTTCGATTAAGCGCGTTCATTAATTATCGTGGCTCTGGAGGAGATTTGAACGTTTACTTTAGCTGCATGCA